TTAGCCTTGACATGTTTCCATCATTGCACTTGCAGGGTCTATCAATTTTGGAAAAAATGTAGTAAGGTTAGATTTATATCATTAGATAACACACTTGTTGTGTAGTTATCATGTATTTGCCCTTTAAGTGTCTTAGAGCATGTGATTTGTGCTACTACACAATATGAGTATTTTTTATTTTTATTTTTATTTTATATTTTGTATGAGTTCATTTTGTACTTTATTGAATATGATTTAATAAAAATTTCTATTTTGCTCTCGAATTTTTTATAGAAGAAATGGTTATAATATATAAAATTTAATGTCTTAACCTCATAAAATAATTTTAAAAAAATGTAAACAGAGCATGTTTGGGGAAGATTTATTTTGCCACTTTCAACTTTTTTTTCTTTAAGAAAAAACCGTTTACAAAATAATATATTTGGAATAATAGCTTAAATTTGTAAACAATTTTTTTTCTTCTAAAAAATATTTTTTTTATGAAGCTAAAATTTTAAAGTTTATCATAATTTCTCAACAACTTTTTTTCTTCTTCCTTTTGAGTTGATTTACCACCTAAAAACTATTTTTTTTTGTTATTGCATTCAAATGGAATAAAAAATCTTAAAATCATTTGTAGCAAATTTAAGGAAATAATTTTCATTGTCATTATAAGTGATTATGACTTATTTATTTAATTAATTATTAAAATAATTTATTTTTCACAACTTTGTCAAACACTCACACCAAACCTAACATATATGGACATGCACATAAAAACAAAGGCTTAAATGTAATTTTGGTATCTCGAGTATTACAATTGTGTAATTTTAATCCTTACATTTTAATTGAGCAATCTTAGTTACTTAGTCCCTGCATTTTAAATTGAGTAATTTTATTTTCTCAAGTATCATAATTATATAATTTTAAAAATTAATAATTTTTGTTGATACGATATTAACAAATGATACGATATTTAATATTTTTAATTAATTTTATTCTAATATATTTATCTTATCTAATATATTTATCTTTTTCATAAAACTGTACTATTGTATTCAAATTTATATTTATGAAACTATTAATTTATTATAAATATATTTATAATATATTTACGTAACAAGAATATATTAATAGTACCAATAACATAAATAAAAATGACGATCATTATAAAATAATAAAACAATATAAAATATGAACACCTTAATAATTATTATAGACAAAAATAATCAAAGGTTAAGCAAATAAATGAGGTTAGGGACACCCCACTA